TGTTCTGGCTGAAATTATTTAAATAGGAAACAATTGTATCTTAAAGAATTCTTCACCATAAATTAGATGAGTACATAACTCAATAATATTTTTATTGAATAATTGAGGTTCAACTTTCAAAACATCAATACTCAGTTAATCGAGTAATTTTAAAAGAATGATCTTCAAATTCAACATGTTAGTCCATTTTGAATACCTGTTCAATTTAATTGTACTGTGAAGCATGTCTTATTGAAAAATTTAAAATGCGTAAAAGTGTATAGTACTGTCAATAACAGAACAATTAAGAAAATATATAATTGAAGTTGAGTGTAGTAATTTGGAAAATAATACAGCTTTGCCAAAGAACTGCATTTTTTGTAAGACAGGTATCCATTAATTAGAACTGTATTTCCCCCCCTTTTTAAAAAATTTTTTACATTTAGACACATCTAAATGTTTCTCTTAATATATGTATGTGCCTGCATATATTGCGTGTGTTTCTGGTCATATTTTGTTTTCTTCATTATTTTTTGAATTTCAATTTAATGAACTATGGAAGGAGTTATGATGTGGATTCCAGAAGTTGTTCTCACAGACACACGATCCTACCTCTGTCTGATGTCATTTTTGATAATATTTCATAACAGTGAACCAAATGTCTTTGATTATAAAATTAAACCTCCCAATAACTGTTAATTATCTTTGAATTATTAAATAGCCTCATTTTAATTTAATCATGTAAGATAAAAATTTTTTTTTTCTATTTGATGTATAGCAGTAACAAAATAAAAAGATAAATGTAATTAAATTCTACTTTACATCATATTACGTACAATACTGTAACTTTTAAATGAAACTTATTTGGATGCTGAGTCATGATCTGCAGCACTTGCATATCGTGAATTATCTCAGAAATAGGAGCATGTAACATGAATTCTGAAGTCTACGTTTTTGAACATTACAAAATCAATTATTTGTTAGATCCAATGGTTCATTGAACCACAGTTAAAATAGGAAGAGAAAGAAAAGTTAAGGTTTTCTAGGAAATAATGAAGAACACTAGATATGAAAAAAATGGACAGACTTTGCTTTCTTCAAATCTCAGCATCATTCAACAATATTATTTAAGGTAAATACAATGCCTGCAAAATATTTCTGGTTATATATTTGGTGAAATAAATTACTTAGTTGTAAAAACGACTAATGAGTAAAGGAGAATGTAACTACAAGTTTGGTATGTGTAAGCAGACAAATGCAACAGCATTAGCTTATTGTTTACATCAGTGCAGTTATATGCCCTTTGCTAATATTCTATGTTTGAAATTTTTCAGTTTACTGTATTTGTAGTTTGTACACATCCTCATTCTGCCTTTTTCTCAGTCTCCACCTCCATCCTTTTTTCCATTCTTGCTTCTCCTCATTCACCCCATCACCCACTATTTATATTAATAAGTAATGCAATTAAGCCATTTTACAAATTATGCAATTTAGGTTAGATTGGCAATGCTGAAAGTGAAGGAAAGGGAATGTACATTAGTCAGAAAGAGTTTAATTCATAACACTAGTTTAGTTATGAATTCTTTAATAGCTCCAGTTTAACACAATGCTCATTTGTGAATTATTAATTATACTGGATGTCCAGGGAGGTAATTTCAAAACTTTGAAAATTTGAAATTGAAAGCTCTTAAGACAATTTTAAGGATATTTTGTCTAATAAAGTCCTTGGATATTCTGAATGGCTGAGTCGCAATAAGGTTTGAAAGTTGGTTTAAAAAAATGCTTTATAGGCAAAAATTTGCATTGAAGAAACATAAAATCTTCACTAACATATGCAAAAGAAATTAATACATTTGTTCACAAAGAAAAATCAAAGAAAGCACTCAATTTACACAACTCGATTTTTTTTCTGTGTTATTTTTCCTTGTGAACAAATATATTAGTTTCTTTTGTATGTAATAAACAATTTTCATGTTTCTGGAGTGTTTATATGTTTCTGAAATTCATATTTGGTAGAGAAAGTATTTTTTCAAACCAACTTTTTGTTGCTCATTGTGGCTCAGCCATCTGGAATATCCAAGGTATTTCTTAGACAAAATATTCTTAAAATTGTCTTAACAGCTTATTTTCAAAGTTTTGATGTTTCCTCCCTGGACATCCTGTATGCTTGAATATGATTAAACAAGTCAAAGATGAAAAAAAAAATCTATCATAAGAATATGAAGTTGTTGAAAGAGCAATAAACAATATTTGAAATTAAAAAACTGCTTCACATGATATGTGAATGCGTGAAATGTTTCACAAATTTGGGAAATCTTATCTCCAGTTGACTAGGAGAAAATTGAAAGAGTTTGATTGATTTTTGAAAGAGTTGAGGGTACTAAATATGTTGCACCTATGTCTTATAGAAGAATAACTCCTTCATAAAATTACTTCCATTTGTACATAATATTCACAATTCTGAACACAGAAAATTAAAAATATTATTTCAGTTAACTAAATTATAATTGACTACTAGATTATTCTTTAAGAATAATATTCAAATATAATTTTCAAGACTACGTAAAAAATCACCAATCTTTGTTTAATTCCATTTTCTCTGGTTTCAAAGAATTGTTAAGTATATTAAAAATTCTTTTCAATTAATCCAGAAAAAAACAATAGTTGAGATGCATATCAATGGAATGATTTTAATGGTTTAATTAGATCATTAAAATTTGCACCTTCAACTCTGTGGATACAAAGGTGAGAACTATTTTTTTTTTTCCAAAATGATTTTGTGTCCAAATTTTTCAGTTGTTACTATTTAAGAACAAATATTGTATATCATTTTTTAAGAATGCTGAATTATATCGATTTCTTAGCAGTTTTGTTCCCATTGCTTTTCTTGAAATCAAGAAACTGGTCATCATAGTGTCTGCTTATCTAATGGAATTTGTAGCCTACAGATTTCCATTTGTTATTATTGTTATAAATTGTTACTGAATGCCTCAGCACTGGTTATATTATTGTCATGTATTTATTAATGTTTCTCAGTTTTTACTGTTCACTACTCATACAGAGAACAAACTATCACTCAGAATTATTTGCTGTTCTTTGCAGAGAACCATACATTTACAGAATAATTGGTAATTTCTTAATATTATTCCAGGTGATCATATAAATCAATTGAATTATATCCATACATGAAAAACAAAAGCGTTAACCATTTACCAATTGGTCATCTATTGGTCAGGGTCCAGGATGCAGCGAAGCTTCTAGCAGTCAGAGCCCCCACACACAGCAAGCGCGCAGATTATAGCCGTGCTCATGCACTGATTCTATTGGCCGTTGCCTTTTGTTTCATCGAAGAATTCTGGCATGCTATCAAGTGAAAATGATTTCATTTGCCATCATACATATTATTCCAATTTTCAACATGCAGTGGATACATGTTTTCTGGTAGTTTGTTTGCTTGCTTGCTTGTTTTACAAACAACTTTTTCATATTTTGGAATGAGTTTGATTATGAGTAATTGAAATACAAGAATGTTTGTTCAATCAAGTATCAAATGTTCACATATAAATCTAATATATTATGTTTGTTAATGTGGAGAAATGAAAGTAGAGAACACTTGAAAATGTATAATAACACACAACTTGAAGTAATAAAAATGTCTCTGAATTCGTAGAGCTGTTAGAAAGTTTAATCTATTCCTGATGAGCTAATATTTTGATACTAGTGAATTCCTCAATGGATTTGCTAGAAACCAATGCTGCAACACTTATATTCTGTGTCTTGTGGATGTACATAGCAACATATTGTGCACATACTGTAGGGAGAAGAGGCTATTATCTAGCAGGAAATGGAAGGTCCTAATTAGCTTCGCTATGTTAAATGTCTCTACTCTATGTGTGCTGTTATTGTCTCTGTTATAGGACTTTGCCAGTGCGACGGGTTGTTGTGATGCTGTTGATATATCATGAGCGAGATGGTTCGTACTTGCCAAGCATTGCCAGGAATGCAATACGAGCACAACTCATGCCTGAACTCTTCTACATACCTTGGATTCCATAAATACTAAAATGTTGCAAAAATATAATTGTAGTAAAGTTGTATGATTAATATGTGAATATAACCATTAATCTAGGAATCCATGATTGTGTAGAGAGATCTTCATCCAATATGGCGACAGAGCAGCGATTCTTTACTATGGTTTTGTTTGTACGCAGGGATGAAAGCATTGTTTTGAGTGATTTTATTGACAACACAGGTATTATTAATCCTATGTATATTATGAAAAAGTGAATGTCTGTTGTTCATTAAATAATTTTAATATTTTGTTTATATTTTTGCAGATGTAACATAACTATCTACAGAAAGATTAATTTTAAAGTAAATTAGTGAAGAAATACATTCTGTTTTCTTATTAAGAGTCAGTATTGCAATACAGTAAGGGGCAAAGATTATTTGATAGAAGTTTGAAAAACATACTTCAATTGTTTTGTTGTAGTAAGCAGTTCCATTCTTAAAAAAAAAAGCCCTTTGAATATTTTTATACATATTGCTCGCAATAAATCTTAATACTTGGTCATTACTGGAACTTCCAGTACTACAATTTAATTGCAATTAATCAGCCTTCATTGTGGGTCATTTTATTAAATTCACAATGCACCTGAAAGGTAAATGGTGGTCCAAGTTGTGATGAGGCTTCATAATTTATTCTTTTTCCTCAGAACCAGTCAGTACTATAAATATGTTTATTTTGCTCCACAGTTTGTCACTCTTGGAATATTCTAAAGACCAAGTAGACTTTGTGGGCCTGGAATCTATTCTAGTAGTAAGAACTGAGGGGACACCCTCATAACAGGTTTTATGTACTTGACTGTTCAGCAGACCAAGCAACTGAATCACAGTAACTCCATAAAATGAAAGCATTCTTAAAAAAACTGCCTTGATCCCTGCTTCAACACACTACTCACAGAGACACGAATGCACAACACCAACTAGAACTACGACAACACGCAAAGCAGTGTGGGAGCTCATGAACCTGTCTTACTCGTGAACTCGTCCTCTTCCTCAGCATTAGCCTCGCGCTCTAGTTCTTCTGGAGTTTTCTTCTTGCGCATTAAAGGATTAGGCTCTTCTTGCTGAATTTCTTGAACTTCTTCCTTTTTTTTGATGTTATACTACAACATATATTGCAGATGTTTATTTATGTGAATTGTAACAGAAAATAGTAAATCATGAAAACAATTACAGATTCAATATTAATTCTAGAGCACTAGTACTAAATCATAAGTCTTTGAAATCATTGAAAATCATTGACAAAAGTATGTTAGCATATAAAAACAATGGAATGTAACCAAAATATTTTATTGCATGTTGATTTTTAAATTCTAATATTCAAGATTTAAAAAAAATAAATTGTTTTTTCTGTCTCAGTTGTATGCTCAAAAAACATTCATCACACTGCAAGTTAATAAAAATATCCTAATATGGTTCTTGAAGCAGTTAGTTCAATTATTTAAAAAGTTTTTCATTTTTAGTTTTACAAATTATTTAAGGATATTTTAAATTATCACTGAACTCAATCAATCAATGGACAAGAATCTTTGAGAAAATAATTTTAAGAATAAAATCTTATTACAAGAATCTTTGAGAATTTTCAACTCAATTCCATATAAAATATTTTCAATATTTATGTTGAGATAATTAAAAATTTAAATGTTATTTTTGATTCTAAATTAAACATAAAGTATTTTGACACTAGTTTATAAGCAATCTCTGCAGCACATCACATTACATGCACAGAAAGAAAGAATTATGGAACATATCACATTGAGCAATAATTTATTTCCTTTAGCCATAGAAGTTACAAATTTCTAACCACACATGTTACACATTGTAAAAATCCTTCTTTGTAGCAACATAAACTGACAAATAATTTGGAAATTTTTTACATGACAAACAAAATAATTAGGATTACTATAAATTTGTAACTGGTGAGATAGGATTAGGCCAACAAAAGAATATGGTACATATGTTTAAGTGACTGCATTTCCAGAGCAAATAATTTAGATTGTTGGAATTCCTTTTACGTTTTGGTACTCCATTTAAACATTGTAGAATCATTATTTTATTGTTTTTATGGTAATAATTAACTTCTCAGTTGAATGAGAGTCATTATTTTTCTGGGTACATAACTTAAAATACTGGAACATAAAATTAAACGTAATTTTTTATTCTTCCTTTTGTGAATTTAAAAAAAGCTATGTTATTTCTATAGAAATTTAGCTCAATGCAGTTTCTTTTAAACTAAAATTATAGAAATTTGTTTTAATGTTATTAAATAGTTAATAAAAAGTATTGAAAAATTAATGTCCTTTTGAGAATTGGACAACTTCCTCTCACCAGTTAGTATATCCTAAAATATATAGTTCGTTAATAAGAAGTGAAGTGTTTTCATGTCAGTATAAATCCACTGAAACACCTAACTTAACATTTTGCACACTAAAAAGAAAGTGTGAATTAAAGTATGAGAAACTATTAAGTTTTTTATTGTCTGCTGGAACAAAACATCACCTGTGGTCTGAATAACTTAAATGAGATTATCTTGAGTTTGTTTAAATACCAAGACCATTATGGTGTTCAACATATTAGTGTCTTTATCAACTACATCAAAGAAGGGCATTATTGTATTGTTTGTAAGTAGGCTAGAAGGTGAAGGAACTAATTAAAATACAGTCAGCCAAATGAGATCCACATATACACTTTTAATTGATAAGATTTGATGACTGATAAGTTCGACTTCTTCTATTTTATAACTTTTTGTGACTTCATAATGAACCAATAGAAAGTCAAATTAAAATTAAATACCAACACCTATTTAATATTAATTAATACCTAATTAAAATTAAATAGCAACACTCTGTTTGGTATCTCCTTCGAGTGACCTTGCAACACTTTTCTTCTCTTAAAATGGTGGGTGTGGGCACAGCCTATGAATGTATATATCGGATACAGGGGGAGGGGGAGAATTCTGTCTGATTTAATATTGACTCTCTTACCTTTTTTCTTTTGTTTTTGAAGCTGGGTTGCAACCTACTTTCAAGAAAATACGTAATGAAAATTAATAATGATTTTGAAATAATGAGTATTTAAAGTAAGAAAGACTCACATCATGCACAATCAATTTCACAATCTGATGTATCACAAATGTTTCACACTCCCCAATCTCACCAACTAGAATGATGACGTATGGCCTCTTTTATTATTATTTTTTAATTAAGATCGCATCAACTTGTAGGTCATTAGCGACCACTATTGCTTGTAACGGCATGGTAACTGTGAGGATGCCACGATATGATGATGTTAGGGGGTGAAAGGACGAACACAATACAACCATGCCCGAGGCGGGACTCGAACCTGCGATCCGGACCGGCTATAGTATGGCCTCTAAAATGCTGAAATCTTTAATACAATGAGGAACAGTGCGGAGTAGTTGTGGTCAGTTACAAAATACCTAAGTGACACCTTGTCCTGCAAGGCCTCCCATCAAAACCACAACCAAGATTAGTTTGTCAGTAATTGAAATGGAAATTGTTTCAGCAAAAGTCTGGAGACGGATCACAGAACAGTCTCAGTCCACTCACAAAATGTGAATAATCAGAGAGAAAACGCAGAAAATAATTGGTTTGTGTGGGTAAAATCAGTCGCTGAAATATCTAAACGGGTATTTACGCTTTTTGGTTTCACAAAATCAATAATTGAGAATTTAGACAGAGCTTTTTTTTATTTTAATCCACAAGAGTGTCACTAACAAGATAACTTCTATTAAAAACGTAAGCATCATTTTCTAAAACACTCTCCAAATTTTTTCAGCACACTTCATTTTCACAGATATAATAAGATATAGTTACAATTCGGTTAAAAACGGTTCCCTTAAATTAAGAGATTTTTAAGGGAAACATAACCTTACACCGAAATGGGGTAAGCCGCGTTTGTGTATGCGTGTGCGTGTCTGACCGCTGTTCGCGGCTAGATCCCTGCCGGTGCCATTTAAGGCGACATTCGAAGCGTCTGGGTCTGCTGGTGCCTAGCCATTTTATTTCGCATCATTCCAATGCAATTAAAAAGATTAAAAGAAATAAAATGAATATAGTCTTAAAACTAAAGCAACGGAGATGCCTTACTGTGCTTTGTGATTTCGTCAGGTTAATCCAATGAATGCTTACTATGCTTAGTGATTTCGTAAGGTGTCATCCATTAGATAATTTACCGGAAAAATTAATATTAAAATTGTATTGTATACAATTTAGGTCACTTACTTTCTCGCATACTACTGACACAATAGCCTACAGAGAAAGTGTTGTAATGTTGCGGAAAGAAACGCCGATTTTTTTGACAGAACAACTCTACTGCCGGGCCCATGTAACGAAAAAGTACAAAGTGGTTGGTCACAGTTTTTCATAAATATTGTTTCTGTATGAAGTAAATTACTTTCACTGAGATATGGTGTAGTCAGAATCCAAGATTTGTGGGCCTTGATACCGAAAAATCGTTTAACGGGAAAATGTGTCTGTCTCCCTGTTGTCAACACTGGCATCTAAAGAGTTCAGACAATTACCTTCGAAATTGACATTTCCGGATCGGTCTGAACGAACTTTGGGCCCTGCGAGTTTGAAACGGATATTTTGATTTTTGGGGGAACTTTATAAAAAGCCTCAATAACATTTTGATAATTTTCTCAAAATTGCCCCAATGTTTTAAATTCAGCTCTGTCCTCGAATACCGCAAAGAACTCTTAAAAAATAGCGTGGTCTCATTATTGTTGAAATCCCAGATTTTTTGAAAATTTTAAAAGTTCAGTTTTTTTGGCGTCTTCCTGCAACTGCAATATTGAAGACAGAGATTTTTTCTTAATAAAATCTTATGCATAAAGATAGATCTTCAATAATAAGGTCATGCACAATTTTTTAAAATATGAATATTTTAGCGAAATTTTACAATTTTCGAATCTGAAAATTCCCAGCACTTATTTTGCTATAGAATCTTTCGGGGGTTATCCCGTTGCAATACAATAGATACACCGCGTCACGGCAGTTGGACATTCTCAAAATAACTAATATTGTTGGGTGGCGTTTCTGGTTTGAAACGGAGTTTTGGGTTGTAGAATTTGTGTGGAGGTATTACCTTTAAATGAATTAAATTTTCGGTGTAACGCGCTACGGTAGGTAATAATGAGTTTTACAAGTAATGGCTGAGATGTGTCAACATGAACTGAAATTGCAGTATTATAATTTTACGTAACCGTTTCTATGCAAGTACGTGGTGCTGTATAACCACTAGCTCGAATATGCTTTGATTGTAATGACTATTTACCTTGTGAAATTAAAACCAATAGTGTTTAACTATACCTACAAATGGTCCAATCAGAGCGGTGTATCTCAAAAAGTTTATCATTTTTTGTATCCGATTTTTCTTACCATTTCTACCTACTGGCCAATCATAAACTGTAACTCTTCTATCTTAGGAGGCGGTATACATCGATCGCTATGTCGATGCCCAATAAAACGCCTATGTATTGTAGCATAATCTATTTCTTTTTAACATATTTTCAATATTTGGCGCATTTTGGAACTCTGTTGGACATAATTTCACTTCTCGAATAATCTAATTAAATACCACTTGTACTTGGGAAATTCTCAGATAAATCCCCTCCTCGCTTGCGAGTCGGGGCTTAATCGGCAATTTCCAAAGCACTCCTGGTATTACCTATGATAAACGCAAATAAATACTCTAAACACAACAATTCATACTTTCTTAAAAACATTATTACATACCTCCACACGATTTATAGACATGTTCATTAGATAAGTTTATGAGCGAAAATAAGTTTTAAAATGATGAATCACGAAAGTGCAATATTTAAGTTTTTTTATTCTGGCGCTTTAAAAAGATTTACTGAACCTACAACCAAAGAATGTAAGAGACGCTGTAACACTGTCGGTTTATTCGCGAAGATAAAATAAAATAAATTTATTTAAACTGCAATTCGGTATAACTCGGAGGCAGCTAATTACATAAACAAGGTGATATAACTAACATAAAAAGTATATAATATATATCAATATATTAAACCAATATATTAAAATATATCGACATGAAAAGTTTTAAATTAAAAAAA